GTCAGCGGGACGATCCCGCCGCCATCTAATACGCCCTCCTCCTATGGTAGAATACCCCAAGGTGCATTGCGTCCAAGCACCCGGCCGCTGCCAAAAAATTGGTGTCGACCCCGGGATTTATTTGTATTATTTGCACCAAATGAGAAGGGGTAATGGCGGAGATGGGCATACGCGGACAGCAGGTCTTAAAGAATAGCAACCTTTGACTTTGAGAGACTGACAGCCGTACTACCTAGTACAGTAACATTGTTTCTCTTTATAGTCCTCGTGCGTTCAGGATTGCGCTAGAAATGTCGCTTCCAAACGGCATCTCTGAGCGTCATCTAGAGAGATAAGGGTATCGTTAGCGTAGAGCGTCAGATAGCTCAATGGTTTAGAACTGTTGCCCAGTAAGAGAAAGCCCCGTGTTCGAGTCCCGGCTTAGCAGAACCGTTCTCGATATTTTCCTCTTTTCAAAATGAAAAAGACAAAGGTCCCGAACACGGCGTCCCGCCGAAACCTAATACGTCCTCCTCCTTCTGTGAAAAAAATATTCAAGGTTATATTTTCAAAAATATGACTTTGAGAAAAATGTCTTGTTTTGTTACAATATTTATCTCTTCGAATTGAATGACGTTCTGCTTTGGCGTCCTCCTATCATAAAAAATAAACGAGATATTTAAGATGCTCAAGTTAGGTATATACATTCTTTAGAGAAAGAAATAAGAACTTGCAAACGAAGATATCAATCAAAAAATAGGAAAAAGGGCAATTCGAGTTCAAGCACAGGACTAATAGTGCTATATACCATATGAGTAAAAAATCTTCCTTGTGTTAGGAAATCGTGTAATATTTATTGAACATGAATAATCAATATAAAACAATCATACGTTTCGGCTCAACCATGAACTCTCTTCAGTGATAATAAAAAAACTCAAGGTTTACGATACGAACGCATTACAATTAGTTAAAGACTTGCGTAACTTGACATGAATGTTAATCGCAATATTAAAGCTGACAAGACCGTTACCGGAATAATATTAAGTAGTTAATTAATATTGAGAAATAACCGTCATAACTTTGTTGAGTTCAGCTAAAAGTAAACCGATCCTGTCAACGATAACATCGCCACGTCTGAACGTCAGACGTTTTTACCTATATGATATATAGCACTATTAGTCCTGTGTTTGAACTCGAATTGCCCTTTTTCCTATTTTTTAATTGATATATACATTCTGTATATCAATATTAAAAACTAAAGCAATATTAAGCAGTATTAATCAATATTAAAAACTAAAGCATGTAATATAATATATGAACTATTTTTTTAATATCAAAAGCTTTTTATGTAACATAGATTAATATTTATAACAACAAAACAACTAAAAGAAAACATTTTATTTCTCTGGTTTATTAAGCGAATATAAATTATGAACATTGCTTTAAAAATTTTAAAAAAAATTTTTTTAATTTAAAAATTTAAAGCGAATATAAACATTGCTTTAAAAATTTGAAGATTTTAGGATAAATAATTCTAAAATATATAGTATTAATTGATTTTGATTTTATATTTTATCCTAAGTTAATGTAAATTTTGCTATAAAATGTCTGTTCCCTTATTATATTACCCAGATGAAAAATATTATATTCTATATATCTCTATGTATGTCAATATTGTTACATAGGTTTCATGTCTATGTATATATGTTAAGAAGGTGGAATAACGAAAGTATAACAAAAGTATAACCATTATCAAATCAAATTTAAAAACTGGACAAACTTACAAACTTGCACAAGCAATTCATATAGGATACATTCTATTTTATATATCTGTGTGCATTTATTTATAGCAGATTTTAGAATTATTTGCACTATTGAAGCAATTTTTAAATTCTATGCTTATTTTTCTTCCCTTACCTTTCCTACTCCATCCGTTGAACCTTGTGGCTGATTGTCGCGAGACTTAAAATTATCAAATTCACTAGACCTAGGTGTTCCCTAATCGCCGAAAAGTTCTTATCGAAACTGGTGTTATACCGTGGTAATTATAATAGTATAAATACGTTGTGGCATACAGAAAAAAACACTGGAGATTAATTTCAAAAAAACTTTTGAATATTAAAAAGTATCTCAAGTTTTATGAAATTGACAGTCCTCAAACTAACAAGGAGACTGTCCAAACGCGCTGCGTTAGATTTGGCTAATTTATATATATATATATATATATATATATATATATATATATATATATATATATATATATATATATATATATATATAT